ATTAATAGTTTTTAAAATCACAAATCATTCTTATGTAGTAATTTGAAAGAATGCATTTCTGCAAAATTACATTTTAAAAACATCCCTGAGAGCCAGGAGCACCTGGGTGGGTCAGTTGGTTGAGTGTCTGAATCTTGATTTCGGCCAGGGTGTGATCTCACGGTTCATGGGTTTGAGCCCCGCATCGGGCTCTGTGCTGAGTGGAGCCTGCTTGGGATTCTCTCTCCACCCTCTCTCTCTGACCCTCTCTCACTCACGGGCACTCTTTCTCTCTCTGAAAATCAATAAATAAACTTAAAAAATATCTCTGGGAGCAATTACTACCTTTTACATTCAAATTAAAGTTAATAAATATTAGAAATTTTCTTTGACAATGTGTGTTAGGAATTACCCAACCCGCTCCTGAGAAAAAAAGGGAAAATCCTGATATTGTATGGGTTCTCTTGTTTCAAACATTTTCTTTTTCTTTGAACTAAAAAGGCAGGGTCTAAGATTAACTTTCTGAGACCCACTCTGTCTCACTTTGATGGTGTTGGCTAAGAAGCTGCATTGTTAATATGGCATGAAGTCAGTGTAATTCTACTTAATTTATTATTTCTCCAAGATAACCTAAAGACATAAACATGTTTCTTTTCTTTGGCCTGGTTTTTAAACAAACATGGAGAAGGCAGGTTCCTGAATGATAGAAGGTCACAGAGAATACAGGAACAACATTTACTGTTGTGGTCACCACTGCAAGTTGGGTTTGGTTGGGAAAGTCTGATGTTTGGAGTTTGATCCTCACGCCTTCATGGGTATCAGTGCTTCCAATGTGAGTGCCATGGAGGAGAGTGACATGGAACCATTGGTGAAATCAACTCTTTATTGAACCCCTTTTCTAAATATTCAGGCACATTGCCATTGATGCTGTATTGGTTTTGTATTGCCGCTGTTACAGCATTACCACACAATACATTACCACAAAATTAATATAACAAAACAGCAAAAATTAATTTTCTTAAGTTCTAGAGATGAGAAGCCTGGAATGGGTCTTACAAAGCGAAGGTGCAGGTGTTGGCAGGAGTATGTTCCTTCTGGAGGCACTAGGGGAGAAATGTTTCTTGCTTTTTCCAATTTCTAGGGGCTTCCAATGTTCATTGGCACGTGGCTTTTGCCTCACCTTATTCTCATCTCTGTTTCCATGATCACATCTCCTTCTCTGACTCTGACCCTTCTAAGACTCTGGTTTTATAAATACCCTTGTGATTAGATTGGGCCCACCTGGATAATCCAGGCTAGTCTCTCCATCTCAGGATCCTTAAATTAAGCACATATGCAAGCTCCCTTTTTCCATGTATGGTAGTATGTTCATGGGTTCCGGGAGCTAGAGTTTGGGACTCTTTAGGGCCATTATTCTATCTGCTATAGGTTCCTTTTAGTCACTTATGTGTCTGCCAGGTGCCACCTCCTCAGAGAGGCTTCCAGGACCACCTAGAATCTCATCTATCCTGGTCACCTGTTTACCTTGTTTTATTAAATCTGGGAATAGTGTATTTATTTTCCAATTTTATTTTTTATTGTTAATTTTCTGTCATTTTATTTGTCACTTTCTTTCTCCTTCCACTTGAAAACAAGCTCCAGTAACAGAGAAACATGGTCAGTTTTCTTCACTACCATGTCTACCAGATCAAAATAGTTCCTAACACTTGGTAGATTCTCAGAAGATGTTTGTTGAATGAATCAATCTGTATACAGTCTAAGGAAGCTTGCCTTACGTTACAACAATAGTAATATATACTTGTTCCTATTACTATCAATAATGCAATTTTTTCTTTTTACTAAATAGCAGTTAAACATGCTGTCAATAGATTTTCTTTTGAATTTAAGTAATGTGTTTCTCTTTGGGACATGTATGAGATCAATAAAGATACCAGATATAAACTGAAGCTACAGGAAAAACAAAACATAGGGACTAGATGAAATTAATATAAACAGTGAGTATCTTGCTAAGAAAGAATGGTTATATTATCTTGATCCCTACAATGAATCATAATGCCATGATGAATAACATGGGGCCTCTTCCCTGTTGACAACAGTAAATGCCAAGAAAGAATGGAGGGAAGAGGGAAGAGAGGTTTTAATTGAGACATCAATTCTGGTAAGCTGAGCTTTGCTCAGCCTGTTCCAAAACATGGTTGATAGCACTTCAGGAAACTCTGAAAGCTTTTAGACAAAAGAAAAGACATTAATGGCATTAAGAACAATCTTGATGGAAGGAGTGCGTTTCTATAAGCGGGTAATTTATAGCTGTTAAATTTTTGCTCATTTTTGTATCCAGGTGACTCATAAAACAAACCCTCAAATGAGTTAATCAGGAAATACTTACTGAGTACCCTATGCTGGTCAGTACTGAGGCCCTCATATCAAATTGAACAGTATTGAGGAGGAGAGGAGGAGGAGGCTTGGAAGGGTTGGGAAGACTTCATGGAAGAGGAGTGTTTAGGCTAAACTGTGTTTCCTCCAAAATTCATATGTTGAAGCTCTCACCCCTGCTATGACTGTACTTGGAGATGAGGTATTTAAAGAGGTAATTAAGACTAAATGAGGTCATTTGGGTGGGCCCTAAATACAGGATGACTGATGTCCTTACAAGAAGAGAGAGAGGGGGGCACCTGGGTGGCTCAGTTGGTTGAGCGTCCATATCTTGATTTCAGCTCAGGTCATGATCCCAGGGTTGTAGGATGGAGCCCTGCATCAGGCTTCATGCACAGCATGGAGTGAGATTCTCCCTCCCTCCCTCCCTCCCTCCCTCCCTCCCTCCCTCCCTCTCCCTCTGCGCCTTTCCCCTGCTCGTGCTCTCTTTCCCTTTCTTTCTCTCTCTCTCTCTCTCAAATAAAAAAAAGAAGAGATAGAGAGACACCAGGCATACACACATACAGAGTAAAGGCCATGTGAGGATCCAGTGAAAAGCCAAGGAGAGAGGTCTCAGGAGAAACCAAATCTGCCTTTACCTTGATCTTGTAGTTCCAGCCTCCAGAACTTTGAGAAAGTAAATTTTTGTTGTTTAAACCACCTAGTCTGTGGCACTTTGTTATGACAGCCCTCAGGGATTGATACAAGGAGGAGTTTGATCTACATCTTGAAAGATGGATAGGGCCATTTCTGGGAAATGGCCTTGGTGAAGATCACTCAGTATCCAAGGGTCTGGTTCATCATGGCACTTTGCAGAAGTGATGAATGAAGCCACAAAAAAAGTTGGAATGCACACAGCTTGTTGAATTAAAGAGTAGAAGAGAGAATTGCGCATGAATAGAGTACAGGTGGGTCCTTGGGGACTTGTGTGGCATTGTCTGGGAGGTGGGGAGGAGACTGTGGAGGATCTTGATATCCAGGGGGAGAAAGTTTGTATTTGATACAGTAGAAAATCTGGGGCTTACCAAAAGTCAATTTTAGATCAGGGAGAATATGATCTATGGCAGATATGGAAATGAAGAGTAAGGTGTGGCTTCAGGAATTACAAGAAGAAAAAAAAAAAGCCAGAGTTTGGTGATAGATAGCCTGGGTGTTAACTGGGAAGAGCCAGCAGTTAAAAATGAATGGTAATGAGGTAATGAGGCTGAGAGGTGTTCAAATAGTTGTTCATTCGTGGGGTTTCATGGGGATTGGAATGTGTTAGCAACTGACTGACTGGAATGCCCTACCCCCACTTCTTTCAAATACTTGAAAATAGAAGGATTACCCTTTCTTTCCATAAAGCTTTATTATTATCAATTAAGCTTTCTCCTTTCACCTACAACAAGAAGCTTACTATGTGTGAAGATCCCAGGGATGATTGAGGTGCCCTTTATGCCCCACAGAATCCTAGGATAGTTCTTTTTTTAAGATGTGCTCGTTCTCCGAGAACAGTAACACCATCTGCCTCACGTACCACATAAATACAGTTGCTCAGATGGTTCTTATCTATAAAATAGCGTTTATTTTCACTGTTGGAATTATACGTGTTTATTTTAGAAATTTTGGATACCAGACAGACATAAACAAAAAATTAAAATAATTCATAGTCCTGCTTAGCTATAGCTACAGTTAATATTTGGGGAATCAAATGGAATAGTTTTGATTACTTCAGTTAATGCATATGATTATTGAATATGTTAATATTAGTGTTATTGGTAACATTACATTTTTTTTTAAGTTTAGAGTCCCTTGTGATTTTCTCTGGGAGTTCCTAGAATAGCATAGAAAATAGTGACTTTTTTTTTTCCAAACAAATTTTCGTAGGTGGTATTTGCAGTAGATAGCAGAGGTTCAGTTTTGCTCTTAGGAAGATGTGGAAACCTCTCTGAAATAATGTTTGGTAAATTAGAACTGACTTATTATTTTTAAAGCGTGTGTTTCATTTAGGATGAAGAAGGTTTTTCAGAGATTCAGATATCTTCCTTGTAAATAGTGCATATTCACTGTATTATTTTACTCTTGAACATATTTTTCATATCTTTTTTTTAATGTTTACTTATTTTTGACAGAAAAAGAGAAAGAGAGGGAGAGAGAGCGCACACATGGGTGCAGAGAGAGAGGGAGACAGAATCTGAAGCAATGTGAGGCTAGAATGAACCTGCCAGATCATGACCTCAGCTGAAGTCACACTTAACCGACTGAGTCACCCAGGCACCCCCCATATCTCTTTTTTAACATACAAAGTTTAATTTTAGAGGAGCCAGTCATTTAATACAGAATAAAATGAATGAAGTGCAGTCTTTTTGGAAATGAAATGGTTAGCCACTTGAGATAAACCAGAAAGGTAGGGCACTTGCCCTCTAAGGTTAGGTGGTATTTTACTTCAGACTGGTGAATGTTTGGCTTCTAAGAAGGTGCAGATTTGATGTTTTTTTCATTTCATGTCTGCGTTGAATTGGCTTTCTAATTTATGATGTTACAAACCTTTTTGAACCATCATAAGAAATGCTTATTGTCCGATTGCCGTGGCTAAATAATAAATACCTTTTATCTTTTTGATATTGCAGTTGACTCATGTTGACCAGGCAAGCTTCCAGGTTGATGCCTTTGGAACATCCTTTATTCTCGATGTCGTGCTAAACCAGTAAGTCTTTGTTGAGCTGTACTCACTTTTGTCAGATATACATTCAAACCACTTTTATAACTTTTGTAAAGTTTTGTTTTCTTACTGTATTTTACTTCATCTTCCCATATCAGTTAAATACTACATTTAAAACTTTTCGATTGACTTTAAGTTATAAAGTCTGACAAATGACAGGAAATGGATATTCATTTAAAATTGAACAGCTGTAACAGATTTGAGAAGGTAAAGTGGAGGGCAGGACTTACTCCAATATTTTGCATAAGAGTATATGTGACCTAAGTTCCTATGAACGGCAGTAAATTGTGAAAATAATATTTAGGATATTAACACATCCTTTTTAAGAACAGCAGAAAAGAGTTACTTTTTTTGCTCAGTGATTCAAAGGACTGGCTGCATGATGTGCGACTCCTAATAATGGCATTAGATGCTTTGATTTGGGAGTCCGTTTCTGTGAGAGGTAGGTACCCTGCTATTATTCTGTAAGTATGATATAATTTTGGAAATTCTGTTTTTCAGTTTTATTAGCCACATTTGAAGTGTTCAATAGCCATCCATGCCTAGTGGTTACCTTATTGGACAAGGCAGAACATTTCCATCATGGCAAACGGTTCTGTTGAGCATTGCTGGTTTAGATTTCTTTTGGGGAATGGGCACTATGTATAACTGTTAGATTCTTGAGCTAGATCACTCAGTATTCAGGAGGAGAATTCATGTCTTCCTTTTAGATTCCAGGCCATGTCCAATGGATTAACTTAATAATTAGTCTTACTAGGATCCTGGTTTTTATGGAATTTATTGCAACGTCATAAATTTTGATAATATCATTTGTGTTATATTAATGTTTAAGCCGTGTAATTAGGTTTTTTTTTTTTGTTTTGTTTTTAGAGAGAGAGAGAGAGAGAGAGAGAGAGAGAGAGAACAAGCAGGGGAGAGGCGGAGAGAGAGAGGGGGAGAGAGAATCCTAAGTAGTCTCCACACTGTTAGCTCAGACCCCAAACTCTGGGCTCTATCCCACGACACTGGGAGATCATGATCTAAGCCTAAACCAAGAGTCAGATGCTTAACTGACTGAGCCACCCACGAGCCCCTAGTTTATTTTTTAATTAGGCTGTCTCATAGCTACCTCTTGTAAGTTTTTCTCCTCTCTCCCCACATTTTTGTAGTTCACAAACAAATCTGAAAAGCATTGTGTTAGATTGACTATTTGGGTGATCCATTAATGGGAGTTGTTTGCTCTTTGATCATGTACATATTAAAAATGTAACATAAATTTTTAAAAATGTAACATAAACTATATTTCTGCTATGCTCATTAAAATACAGTTTGTTGCTTGTTTTTAAAATCAGTGGCTTTGGGCGCCTGGGTGGCGCAGTCAGTTAAGCGTCCGACTTCAGCCAGGTCACGATCTCGCGGTCCGGGAGTTCGAGCCCCGCGTCAGGCTCTGGGCTGATGGCTCAGAGCCTGGAGCCTGTTTCCGATTCTGTGTCTCCCTCTCTCTCTGCCCCTCCCCCGTTCATGCTCTGTCTCTCTCTGTCCCAAAAATAAATAAACGTTGAAAAAAAAATTTAAAAAATAAAATCAGTGGCTTAGAACATATATAATTAAAGCCTTTCTACCACACTTTATACCAGGTATTTAACCTAGTTTCATAGAGCATAAGACTCTGTTAATATGATTTGTATCTTATATTCCTGCTTGATGTAAATGCCCTAAAATTTACATTTTTAAGTTACTTATTGCGTTTTTTCGGCAACTTTCATATTCTAAAGTTTTTAAAAACTCAGTATAAAGGAATGCATGCTCCTTAAAAGAATAATGATAAAGTAGCAAAAACGGTGTCACATAAGTGTACCACTTGGAAATGGATTGCCCCATTTTATTTAAAAAAAATTTTTTTTTAATGTTTATTTACTTTTTTTTTTTAACGTTTATTTATTTTTGAGACAGAGAGAGACAGACCGTGAATGGGAGAGGGTCAGAGAGAGGGACACAGCAATTGAAACAGGCCTGCGTGCTCTGAGCGGCAAAACACAGAGCCCCATCATCACCGAACTCTCAACGATCATGGCGAGATTCGAGCCGGGGTTTGCTGTCCCATCGAGCCGCCACCAGGCACCCCAATGCTTACTTTTCATGGAGAAGAGAGAGGGAGAGACAGAGCACGAGTGGGGGAGGGGCTATTTACTTTTGAGAGAGAGAGCGCGCGCGCACGAGTTAGGGACGGGCAGAGAGAGAGAGAGGGAGATCCAGAATCCGAAGCAGGCTCCAGGCTCTGAGCTGTCAGCACAGAGCCTGACACGGGGCTTGAACTCACAAACCATGAGATCATGACCTGAGCCGAAGCCGGACGCTCAACCAACTGAACCACCCAGGCGCCCCTGCCCAATTTTAAATTGTAACCCTCTCTGCTCTCACTCTTTTATCGAGCCTACTACCTATTCTTCTCCCCTGCTTCATTTTTAATTTAATTTAATTTAATTTAATTTAATTTAGTTTAGTTTTGTTTTATTTGTTTTATTTTAGTGTTTATTTTTGAGAGAGAGAGAGTACGAGTAGAGGAGGAGCAGAGAGAGAGGGAGACACAGAATTTGAAGCAGGTTCCAGGCTCTAAGCTATCAGTACAGAGTCTGACACGAGGCTTGAACCCATGAACCATGAAATCATGACCTGAAGTTGGATGCTTAACTGACTGAGCCACTCAGGCACTGCTCCCCTGCTTCATTTTTTAAAACATAATATTCGGGGCGCCTGGGTGGCGCAGTCGGTTAAGCGTCCGACTTCAGCCAGGTCACGATCTCGCGGTCCGTGAGTTCGAGCCCCGCGTCGGGCTCTGGGCTGATGGCTCAGAGCCTGGAGCCTGTTTCCGATTCTGTGTCTCCCTCTCTCTCTGCCCCTCCCCCGTTCATGCTCTGTCTCTCTCTGTCCCAAAAATAAATAAACGTTGAAAAAAAAATTAAAAAAATAAATAAATAAAACATAATATTCATCACCATTTAGTATATAGGTTGACTCACATGATATCATCATTTTTGCACATCACAAAGTTTAGCCACACCAGCATTGTCATATGGTGAATTAATATTCTGTATTTTAATTACTTACTTTGTTTATTGTCTTCTTCCTCTCACTAGAGTATAAGCACCTTGAGGGCAGGAATTTTCTTTCCTTCCTTGGTGTCTCCTTAGCATAGAATGGATACTAAATTCCAGCTGGGAAGCTATATAGACTTAGAAGCCAGACATTGGAATTCCCTGGAATTTGCAGGACACAGGGAAGACCAGATAAAGGATGGAGGCTATCAACTGGGGAGAAGGCAAATAGCAAAAAAGATCCAGAGATTAAGTGTTTGGGACTAGCTCCCAAAAGCTGAGCATCTGTATATAGGTGTGATTTGGAAAGTCAGATTCCTACGTTTCTGTTTCAGTGACTCTTTCCTATCCCTCCTTTATTTTTAAATTTTATTAAATTTATTTTATTTTATTAAAATTTTTTTTAAATGTTCATTTATTTTTGAGACAGAGAGAGGGCATGAGCGGGTAGAGAGAGAGAGGGAGACACAGAATCTGGAGCAGGCTACAGGCTCTGAGCTGTCAGCACAGAGCCCAATGTGGGGCTCGAACTCACGAGCTGTGAGATCATGACCTGAGCCGAAGTCGGACACCCAACCAACTGAACCACCCAGGCACCCCTATTTAATTTTTTTAACATAAGAAAAATTTAATAGCATAAGTTGAGGGAGTGACATAGACGTAGAAATTCCCTCACATTCCTCCTTTAAATCACTATTCCTGTGGATAACCCAGCCTCAGTTTCTGGTTCCTGACAGTTGTAAAGCCTTGATTATCAGTTCTCAAAGAAATGATATTTTTTCCTGTCCATTCTGCCCTAAACTACCTCACTTCCTTTGGAGAAATCTCAGCCCCAAAACATTCTCTTCCTAAAGGCGAAACACATATGGCCATACTTATCAGAGCATGAATACTTTGGAGTACTAAGGGTAAAGCAGAATTTCTTTGGAAATACTGGCAAGAATCTCCATTGGGCATTTTTCCTCTTATTACAATGGAAATTTAAAATTGCAAGAAGTACAAAGTATAAGATAATAACATAAATGGAGGTTCCTGGGCTGAGGAATATGTGAAGTCCTTTTTTTTTTTTGTTCTGGGATCTATATTACATATGGGTTGCACAAAGCTGATTTCTTTATGCTATAAGAGCCAGGATGATTTGATACCAAGTTTTTTTTTCTTATTTTTGTGAAGAATGTTTTTAATTCATGGTTTCAGTTTATATATTGCCTTGTGGTTGTGTTGATTAAGGAGCAGGAAGGTGAAAAATTGAATATGCTCTTCAAAAATTATTTTTCTTATGAGGCAATTCTAGGGTTGTGGAACCGGTGGAGTTTTTTGTTTATTTGTTTTAAACTGGAGGCAAATTAAATAAGTCTCTGTGTAGCTGGATTCCAGTTGCAGATTAGATCCAATAATACATATTTTTAGATTGGAGTGGAAGGAAAAGTATCATTACATAATATTCCTTCTGACTGTTCAGTAAACAGAATTATCTATAACAAAATTATGCAAGAGTTCAACCTTTAAGTTGTAATTTCTACAAAAGGCAGATAAGGAATATGGAATATGGTTAAAAATGAAAAGCACAGCCAGTTCCTGTTTTGTCGAGCGATTTTTAGTTCTTTCATGGGGTCACACAGTTGTGAAATTTCACTCTTTAGGACAGATCAATTAAAAAAAAAAACCCAAACCTATGGTCTAGCCTGGTCAAACTGGTCCTGAGGCCACATTGGACCTTTCCAGAGATCAGTGACTGGTGAAACATTTCTGGGAAAGAAGAAGACTCAATGAAGATATTTTATACCACATATGTAATACTGTATATACATGTGTGTGTGTGTGTGTATACACACACACACTATATATAATAGTACATAATATATATTACATATGTGTTATTGGACCAATTCATTCAAGCCAGGTCTTTTC